CCACGGGCTCAGGCAGTCCACTCACTTCAGCCTCCCAAAGGCGCGGGATTACAGGCTGAGAATTTTTAAAAAGTAGCTGCGGCAACCGGGCTCAGTGGCTCAGTCTGTAATCCCGCGCTTTGGGAGGCTGAGGTGAGTGGACTGCCTGAGCCTGCGCGTTCGAGACCTGCCTGGGCAACTTGGCGAGACCTCATCTCTATAATAGAACAAAAAAATTAGCCAGGCGTGGTAGCGTGCCTGTAGTTCCAGCGACTTGGAAGGCTGAGGCAGAAAGATCGCCAGAGCCCAGCAGGTCGAGGCTGTGGTGGCCAGGAGCGTGCCACTGCACTCCAGTCTGGGCGACAGAGTGAGACTCCAACTCAAAAAAAAAAAAGTAGCTGGGCATAGTGGTGTGTTTGTAGCTCCAGCTACTCAGGAGAATGAGGAGGGAGGATTGCCCGAGCCCAGGAGGTCAAGGTTGTGGTAAGCTGCAATTGCACCATTGCACTCCAGCCTGAGTGACAGAGTAAGACCCCAACTCAAAAATATACACACATATATAAATCTGAGTGAAAGAAGCTAAAAAAGAGCATATACTGTATGATTCCATTCATATCACGGTCAAGAAAAGGCAAAACTAACCCATGGTGGTGGAAAGTAGAACAGAGTTTAGCTCTGGCAGGGTGGGTACTGACTGGAAAAGCGCAAGCGGGAGCATTCTGGAATGACAGAAATGCTCTATATCTTGATTTAGGCAGTGATCCCATAGGTGTACACATAAGTAAATGGCTATTCAGTGTACACTTGAGATTTGTATGCTTCACCACATAACTTATACCTCAATAAGAACATCACAACACACTGAGCAGTATTTTTAAAGCAAGCTTTAATGGAGCAAGACAAAATGCTGCCAACTATTGCAACTAGGCAATGAGTATGTGGGAGTTCCTCTTCTTTACTTCTATGTATGCCAAAATGTTCCCAAAATAAACAATTAAATAAATAAAATAAAAATTACAAACAAACGTCAAGACTCACGAACTTCACCATTATTTTGAAAGTCAACATTCTTACCTTTCCTTCTGTTGCTTTCTTTGTTGATGAAATTTCCTTCATAAGCTTGGGAATTTCTCTGTCAAATTGTGAAAGAAATATTTAAATTCCGAAGTGTAGTTCTATTTTAAGGTGATAAAACATGCTATCATGTACTCAGTATCTAAAAAACATGGCATAAAAATTTAAAAGATTCACATACTCTAACACAACGGCAATATGCCGATGTCGAATTCTGACCCAGAGATCATCTTCTTCTTCAAGGACGGCCTCCTTTTCTTTTCCATCTGTTTTATACCTACACGTAGACAGAAGCATAAGATTTTTAGATTTTTTCCCTCCAAAAGAGGAAGAAACTCTCTTACAAACAATAATTTCAAGAAGGCATAGCTCAAGAAACTGAGAAGTACATATACTGAATCCACTGTTTTAGGAAACAAAGGCATATTGCCATCCTTACATTAAAAATCAAAGTGCTACGCCTATCAAGACATTTTTACTTTCAAATATTAAGTTTAGCTGTCATTATAACAGCTTTAGCTCAGCAACATAGTATCTTATACAGCTAACATTCAATGTCCTACAGTCAACTTTAAGAACAAGACTGAGTATATCAACAATTTGTGTTCTAACTGCTTCTGACACTATTTTGAGGTAAATAACTGTCAAATATCCATTAATAATAGAAATATCACCCTCAACGTAGGCTAGGTAGCCTATTAAATATTGAAGGTGTTTCAGAGTTGGTACAAAACTCACAAACATATATAATCTGTTTATTTTTCCTCAACTCTAGAACCAGAACTTCTTTAACAACTTGGAAAGGAAATGAGAGAAAAATTAATGTCACCATAAAAAAATGTAACCATAAAAAAATAATAGCTTTCATGAGTTCCATAGAAATGAGTCATGCAAGCCGGGCTTGGTGGCTCAGCCTGTAATCCCACGCTTTGGGAGGCTGAGGTGAGTGGATTGCCTGAGCCCGCGGGTTCCAGACCCGCCTGGGCAACTTGGCGAGACCTCATCTCTACAATAAATCAAAAAAATTAGCTGGGTGTGGTAGCACGCGCCTGTAGTTCCAGCTACTTGGAAGGCTAAGGCGGAAGGATCACCGGAGCCCAGCAGGTCGAGGCTGCGGTGGCCGGGAGTGGTCACTACACTCCAGTCTGGGTGACAGAGTAAGACTCCAACTCAAAAAAAAAAAAGAAATGAGCCACACAACCTTAGGGGTTCATGGAACTACTTAGAATGGATCTCCTGACTCTTCCCCAGATGTGATTTCTCCCTTCTCTTTCCACATGGATACCCTCCTCCTCCTTCCTTTGTGGGGTGAGGGAAGACTCAATCAGCCTTGGACTGTCAATTTCCTGAGCCAAGATCAGGAAGGACTGCACTGAATTTTCGTAGCTCTGGACTACAGATAATACATGTAAACTTATTCTATATGAATACAATCATTTCTATAACCCCCAAAATTGTATGTCCCACCTATAAAACCACACACCCTTGCAGTCTTCATTATGAGTGTCCAAAAGACTGAATGGCTCTGTGTATTACAGCAAGGATGCACTAAGGCTGGAAGCCCTTGTGTCACTTAAAACACCACATTGCCCTTAAACAATACCTTTAGCTTTTAAGTGATTTATAAACAAAGATTAGAGTAGCAAGCCTATAATACTCAAAGATGAAGACAATCTCATTTTAAGAGTTAATCTAAAAAGGTCACCAAGATGAAAAATTTAATTTGGATACTCAGAATTTCCTGCTATTTATTGTTTCCATCAAAAATTGTGAAGGAGCCAGTTATGGTGGCTCACGCCTATAATCCCAGAACTTTGGGAGGTAGAGGAGGGCAGATTGCTTGAGCCTAGGAGTTCGAGACCAGCCTGGGCAATACAGCAAGACCTCGTCTCTAGACAAAATATTTTAAAACTAGCCAGGCATGGTGGAGTGTGTCTGTAGTCCCAGCTCCCAAGGATGCTGAGGTGGAAGGATCACATGAGCCCAGGAAAAAAAAAAAAAAGGAACAAAAACCACAGGGAGCCGTGCTCCCATCTCAATCTTATCTCTGGATTTTTCTGGTTCAATGAAAGGGGTATAGCTGCTTGGCTTTTTAAAAGAAAGCAAGTCTTTCTCTTACTCTTAAAAAATTAAACCTTGCTTTGCTTGCCAGCAAACCTAGGCAGATACAGTGCAGTCTGGAGCCACACCCTTTACTGTCTATCAGCTTCTTAATCCTTTTCTAGCTTTCTTGAACAACGCAGGTTTAGAAACCCAAAGGATAACAGAGGGTAAGTCATGTCTCTTTTGAATAAGTTGCTTAAATGACTTTCATATTAGAAAAATAACTATGTTGATTTCTCATTGTTATCTAACATTAGTACAAATAACACAGAGAAAAACTCAGAAATCAGAATTTGACAAGAATACAAATTTAAAAAATAGAAAATACAAAATTATTTTAACAATATTTGGCTTAAGAACGAACATTAAGAACTATAACCCTGTGCTTGTTCTCAGCAGCCAGCCTATTCAGGTTTTCAGCATCCTAAGCTCCTAAGCTTTTAAAATACATTACATTAACAAGATACGTGTGCTTTGGGGTGTATGATTCAGAATAATTAAAGCCTGACCATTCTGAATATGGTTTCCACTACAAAAGCCAAATAGTATTTACTTTTAATATAAGTAAAGAGCTCAAATTCTACTGTGTAAATGTAGCTCTGCTGTAGATACCGTTAAGGAAGCAAACACACCAAGAAAGCGCCAAAGCAATCAAGTTACCCATTAACTTGCAAGGTCAGCATGTTTTTAAAGATTGCGATTATAGGAATAAGAGAAGGATAAAGTCTCTGAATAAAAAAGGTTGCGGGGCTTTCGGCTTTCTGGTCCCTGTACAAATCAGTCAACACTCATCCTGTGTGGACATGCCCTCGATATGCCCTTGGCGTTATACTTGCTTGTATGTATCATTCTCAATTGGTAGTAGATCATATGCCATTGCCTGAAAGGTCAGTTCATGCAGGACAGTGGACACAGGATCAAAGCCACGGTCAATTATTAAGAGCTGGGAATGAGTTTTACCCTAGAATAACAAGAAAAATTATCCTTAGGAAACTTCTATTTCTTTGCACAAACATATTTATAGTACTTTAGAAAACAAAAGCAGACTTTTCCTAAATTCTGTCCCTGCTCCCCACCAAAAACATGCAACAAAACAAATGGTTATTTGCCTTAAGAATGTGAAGTCACATTAAAACAAAGAAAAACCTGAGTAACACAAGAGGGAAACCACCAAGACCATGTAACTAAAAGCTTTCATAATTAGATTAGAGGGCACATTTAATATTTCAGTTGACCCTTGAAACCCACAGGTTTGAACTGCATGGGTCCTCTTATACACAGATTTTTTTTCCCCCCAACCAAACAGGGATCAAAAATATAGAACTCTCTGGATATGATATGCTGACTTTTCGTATATGTGGGCTCTGCAGGGTAGACTGTGTGCTCTGAGTGTGTGTGGATTCTGGTATACACAAGAGGTCCTAAAACCAATTCCCCATGTATACACTATTCTGAAAACTTCTTTTAAAGAAGTAACAATTCGTTTGCACTAAATCTATTTTCTCATGAATTCAACTCCATAAGCACTAAAACCAATATAAATTATGAATAGTAGCTTGAGCTCTTTGCATTAGACATTTTACAAGCAAGAAATATATGGATTATCTCATTTAATTCTTTTGGTGACCCTGTGACACAGGTATTATTATCTCCTCCATTTGACCAGGAGGGCATTAAGGCTTAAAATTAAGTAACTTGCCTAAATGATACACACAGCTAATACGTGGCAGAATAGAAATTCAGTCCCAGCCCTGCGTCACTCCAGTACCTGTGCTCTTAACCACAGAGTGATTTTAAAAGATTATATTGATGCCAATGAAGATGATAAATCACAATGAAAGCCTTGTTATCTTTAATTCACAAACAGCATTCATCATTAAACAGATTAACTACTGGAAAATTTTATTGTTAACATCAGTAGCTTTCATATTTCATTTTAAAAAGTAATAAATTGATTACTCAAAGCAATGAGATAACTATAACTCATTAGAGGAACATTTTCTATTTATTTACATATAGAGACAGAGGTAAATTACAGAGGTAAGATTTTAAAAATATTTTTAAATTAACCACATTCATTTAAAGTATCTTTAATAAAGTATAGTATAGCGGTTAAGAGTACAGCCTCTAAAATCAGAGAGATAAGAATTTGAGTCCAGCCTTGACCAGTTTCTTGACACAGAAGCTTGGACAAAATGCTTAACCTACTCATGTCAGTATTCTCTTTTAGATGAAATATAATTTTAAAAAATCTTATGTGATTATTGTAAAGGTTAAATGTAGTAACACCATGAAACACTTCGCACAGTGCCTGACATTTAGTAAGTCATCAATAAATGTGAGGTATGACTTTTCAAAACTGTAAACAGGAAAAAGAGCCACAGAAGTGCTACAGCAGGGCTTAGGGCTTAGGGCTTACGTCAGAATGTGGGAGGAAGTGTCACTTGGCCTAACGAGTCAGAAAAGGTTTAAACACTCCAATGGACAGTAAAATAAGGAGGTGACATTTGACCAGGTGTCCTTGAATAAAGGTATCCAGCATTTGAAGGATGTATAAATTTCCAAGCAGAAACAACGGAAAGGACACATTTGCTTTTGCTTGATTTTGCGCTTTTCCCACCGGAAATATGAACGACTGAAGAGATATTTCCTAGTATATTGATTGTATATCTTTCCCTTCATTCAACAAACATTTATTTACTATCTGCTGTGTGTACTAAGCCATTCAGGCTTCAGAATCACGACCAGAAAGGCAGCCTCCTCTAGACATCCAAACCAGAACTGATCACTTGTAAAGTAATACAAAATCTAAGCTCACATTCTCCAGCCCTGCCTGGCTGTTTAATTTAGATTTAGTCTTTTTCTCTAATGCCTCCACCCAAAGAATCCTGGTATCCATGCAATACAGTCCCTCTTCTACCATGCTATACTCATTCTCCAGGCTCAAGGGTTACTTTTTTATTTTTTTTTATTTTTTGAGTTGGAGTCTCACTCTGTCACCCAGACTGGAGTGCAGAGGCCGCTCCCAGCCACCGCAGCCTCGCCTGCTGGGCTCCGGCGATCCTTCCGCCTCAGCCTTCCAAGTGGCCGGAATTATAGGCATGCGCTACCACGCCCGGCTGATTTTTTTGATTT